CTTCTTCAGGAAGCGCGCTGTCGGCCCCTGCGGTGTGGACAGGTCTGGCTCCTACAGGCCCGCCCCCGACCCCTCGGGCACTCGCTTCATCCTAGCCTGCGGGGTTAGCCTGGTGACAAATCCGAGTGTGAGAAACCCGCTCGCTGCCGCTCGGCTTCCAGCGAGACCGCCCAAATGCAAGACTGAATGGCTTGACTGCCGTGGCAGCCCCGGTAGCCAGGCGCACAGACACACTGGGATCTGGAGGGTCCGGTGCGGCCCAGCCATTAGCGATTGTCTCAAACGAGGGCCGGACATTGGGGTCCAGCCAGTGACAATTGTCTCAAGTAAGGCGTGGCGAAGCGGCTCCGTGGGTACGGTGCTTCCGTGCGAGCGTGACGGCTAGGTTAGATCCCCCGAACCCATTTTAAGGTGGAACAAGAGAACTGGCTCCTGAAGTTGTCCTTTGTTCCCGACACGGGCACTGTGGCTGAGTTGACGGTACAGTCATACAACAGTGAAACTTGTTTGCTTGAGACAGGGTCTCAGGGTCTCATGTAGCCCTGGCTGCCCTGAAACTCACTATGTATACCAGGCTGGCCTGACCTCACACTCAGATTAAAGGTGTAAAGAAAAACCACCCCCCCGGAAAAAAAAAAAAAAAAAAAAAAAAAAAAAATTGTATTAACCTGTCGCCAGAATCCTGTCAGCCCTCCATGTCAAAGAGAGTAGCAGCTGGAGGATAGCAGCCAAGGAAGGAATGAGGTCTAGCATTTTAATTGTTTCCTGGAACAAAGATTGCATATGCTGAAAACCATTTTTCAATGGCTTCCGCACAGGAGAAAAAAGTAAGCCTCCATCAAGGAGGAGGTCAGGAAACTGGCGAGTCTCGATTTCTCAGGCAAATCCTGTTCTTGGACAATAAGGAAAATAAATTTTGTGGGGTGGGAGTTGGGTAGGGCTCAGTAGTAGAACCATAGGCAAATATGTGCAAGCCCTTGGTTCTTAGCACCCCTCAAAAGAAAAACAAACAAAACACACCCAATTCCCTTACCTTCCTACAATCTATTATAATACAGATCTTTTAAAAACAGATTATTTATTTTATGTGTATGTGCTCCACCTGCATGCAGGTGCCCTCCAAAGTCAGAGGGCATTGTGTCCCCTAGAGTGCAGGATCAACCTGTAATGTTGATAAGACCTTGTCTCAGAATAAGGGGTGGAAAGACAGTTCAGGGTAAAGAGTATTTTTGCCCTTCCAGAGGGCACAGACTCCCAAGGCAGATATCTGTCTCATAACTGCCCGTAACTACAGCACCAGAGGATTTGATGTCACCCTCTGGCCCCTGTGGGCACCTGCGCAGAAGATACACACACATACACTCACACATATTTGAATAAAAAGTAAATCTTATAGAGAAACCCTGTCTCAAAAACAAAAACAAAAAAATCTTAAAAAGAAAAAAAATGTAAAAGTAGCAAAACAAAAAAAAGGTCTTTCACAAACCACTCCTGTGTATAGAAGTCATTGAAGGGTGTAAACCAAAAGCTGTAGGAATGGCAGACAATGTAAAAAGACGCCTTTGACTTAAGTAGTGTTTGAGTATAGTTCTAAAGAAACTGTTGGAAGGAAGCATAGATATGAGAAAATCTTCCTGAAATATGCAGTTCAGGATCAAAGAGTGGGGATTAAGCCAAAGAGAAGAGCACTGAAGATTAAAAGAGTTTAAGGAGATCGAAAGCCAGGAAGCCGGCTAGTGGGAATACAAGGCTTGCCTTAATGGCAGGCAGGAACAAGGTGAAATGCCTGAAGGTGTTTGACAGCACGGAGATGCATCCAGGACTCAGATCCATTACTGTGGCTTTGGGAGAGAAAACTGACTAGTGTTGGGATGATAGAAGGGGAACTGTCCAGTGAAAGAGAGAATATTAACTGTTGTTGAGTTTTAGCTAATTGACATAATTTACTCTCTCTGGGATATCTGTCCTAGACATATAAAAGAGAAGTTGGGAAAAGTTAAATGTGTACTTAAAACAGACTAGAAGCTAAGAATGCTACCCCGTTCCAGCCTATTATTCCACCTAGGGAAATTGAGGCTGCAGCATCTCAAATTCTAGACCAGTGTGGCTGCATAGTAAGACCTTGAAAAGGGAAATAAAAAATGCATAAATAATGGGGGGAAAAAGAAGCAGCAGCAGCCAAGGGCTTGAAAGACAGTGGCTCATCTGCTGCCAAGTTTGGTGACTTGAGTTCCACCTTAGGGATTCATGGTGGAAGGAAAAGGCTGACTCCGGACTGACTTCAGAGAGTCGTCCTCTGACCACCACACACACAAACACTCGTAAAATTAATAGACGTAAATGTGATTTAAGGGGAGGGCAATGAGATAGATGAGTAAGTAACAGTGCCTACTTTGAGCCCGATGGCCTGAACCTCATCCCTGAGACCCATACGGTGGAAGGAGAGATCCCACTCTTGACCTCTGATATTCACACTTGTAATAAATAAATAAAATGCAACAAAAGAAGGAAAGAAAAAAATAGACAATGTAGCCTGTAATCCCACTATTGATGGAGACAGAGGATCAGGAATTAAAGGTACATAGCAAGCTGGAGGCCAGTCTGAGTTACAAAATGTTGAGACCTCCTGTCTCAACAAAATAAAAGTCTAAATAAATGCAAGACAGTCCACCATGTGATAATTCTGTACTACATTTGGGAGGTCAACCCTGGTAGTTCCTTCTACAAAAGTTCTTTGAAGGGGCCGGGCGTTGGTGGCGCACGCCTTTAATCCCAGCACTCGGGAGGCAGAAGCAGGCAGATCTCTTTAAATTCGAGACCAACCTGGTCTACAGAGCTAGTGCCGGGATAGGCTACACAGAGAAACCCTGTCTCAGAAGAAAAAAAAAAGGGGGGGGGGTTGGAGAGGTGGCTCAGCAATTAAAAACACCTGTTTTTTTAGGAGGACCTGGGTTTGATTCTCACTACCCATATGAAGGCTCATAATTGTGTTAGTATTTAGGCATCTCTCTACTGGCCTGCTCTGGGAGTCCTGGCATGATTCATCCTCAGCTACAGCCTCTAAGAGCACCGCCTGTGCGCATTGGCTATCATGTTCATGAGCCTTGCTCACCTCCCATCTCTCTCTCTCTCCCCTTTTCCCCATATCCCTCTCCCTCTTTCTTTCCCTCCCCCCCTCTCTCCCTGTCTCCCTCTCTCTTCTCCAATCAATACTCTTGTCCCCTGGGACTGGTCTCTGCCCCACCCCACCCCCTGTGTGCCACCACTGCCCAGCCCTTCTCACTGTTTTTAAATCAATTATAACAAATTATCCATAACTACAGTTCCAGGGGATCCAAAAACCATTTTCTGACCTCCATAGACATTCTTATGCATTCAGGCAAAACACTCATTCACAGACAGGTGATGGTGACGCATGCCTTTAACCCCAGGACAGGCTCCAAAGCTACACAGAGAAACCCTGTCTCGAAAAAAGAAACAAACAAACAAACAAAACAAAACTCATCCACATGAATTAAATAAAATAAATTTCACTCTTACGCATAAAAATAAATCCTTTTTGAAAATAAAAATTAAGTGCTTTGAGAATATTACAACTGAGACTGTGAAACCCATACCCGATACTCAGGAAGCTACAAGGAAAAGATCAAGAGTTTAAGGCCAAACTTAACTACAGAGTGACATCAAGACTGGCCTGGGCAATTCAATAAGATCCTGTCTCTAAAGTAGCTGAAGATTCGGTTCACTGGTACAGTGCCAAACATGCCAAAAGCCCTGGATTCAATCTCCACTACCATACACATACACAAGTAAAATGAATCTGAATATGGTAATTGAAAGCCCATAATACCAGTGATTTGTGAGGCTAGGCAAGAGGCTTGTCAGGAATTCAAATCCATCCTGAGCTATATAGAAGGTTCCAGGTTGCCTGTGTTACAGAAGGAGACTCTGTCTCAAAGAACAAAAATCAAGAGTAGAAAAAGAGCCTGGGATGTAACTGATTAATAGAGTACTTGCCTAGTGTGCACAAAGTCCTGGGCTCCATCTCCAGTACCACAGAATGAAAGACTTTAAAAATGTTATGAATTGCAAAACATTACTGTTAATCTTGTTATTTATGGAAAAAGAAAGTCATTGCTGACAGTTCAGAACCTACATTAGAGGGTGGCAGCTTCCCTTTTCTTTTGTTAGTGTTTTCTTCTATACCATTTATGGTAGTTTTAAGGAAGTAGGGCATATTCTCAGAACCAACAGAAAGGAGAAACCTCATTTTTATAAAAATGAAAACTTTGTTGTTTGGGGAACTACACTGGGATAGAAGGAAGTCAATTGATCAAAGATTAATTGTGCCAGAAGTATCTGGCCTCATTTGATCAGATTTGTCATTTTAACAGACAAACAAAAACAATACTTCTGTTAAACTGCTAAAATGGAAGTTTTGAACCTAGTTAAGTAACCACAGGGCCCATTGGCTTCTCAGAAGGTCTATGACCTCATGCTGCTGCAAGTTCCCAGAGCAAACAGTGCCCTGCAGTCATGTTGGCCAGAGGTCAGGGTCCTCCAAGAGCTCAGTGCTATGCTTGTTTGAACTGCTGAATCAGCAGGTTTGGTGGGCACAGGGCAAGGCTAGAGGCAGCTACAGGGTGGAATGTTTTTGTTTTTTGTGTGTGGTGTGTGTGTGTGTGTGTGTGTGTGTGTGTGTGTGTGTGTGTTGAGGGGAGCTATTGGACTGCTTGGAAATATACTGAAGTGGTAGTAGTGGGCATTATTCTGAGGGTTTCTGAA